GGGAAGGTGAGCATCATAGAATGCCAATTTAATAGAAAGTATTCTTGCACTGTGGGAGTACTTGAGTGGAGGCCCAATGTCCTTCTCCTACCTTAATACTAAACCTATAAATATATGCACATAGATCTATTTCCCCATTCTCATATATAAATATATTTGCATATCTACATGCCTTTATTTAGACCTCTATAAAGGCCCTTTGCCTCCTACCTCTTTCCTCTATTTCCTTTGGCTTTTCTCTTGTTCCACTATCATGTTCAGCCTTCATTTGGATTTTCAGTAATTGCTCTTGGTTACATTACCCTTGTTCACGCCCTACCAGGCCTCCTACACCCTCCTCACCACCGATTTGGATCACTATCACTTGTTGTTCCCTTATCCCTGGGTTTGTTAACACCACTACCTTTCCTCCCACCTCCCTCTCTCCCATGTCCCCCCTGGAACTGTTGGTCCCGTTGTTTTCTCTTCCAGATTGTTCATCCAGCCTATCTTATTTAGACAGACCTGGTTATATCTATATCTCTTACATTAGGTAATCTGTTGTTGGAAGTTGGAGGTGCCAGCATCACCCCTGCCTAGTCTAAGAATTTTATCGTAGTTTCACATTTAGGTGTGTAGGATGTTTTTAACTTTTTGTTTTAAAGCTATTTGGGGCTCTTGCCAATCGATATGAAGTTTTTCTATTCTGTAAAGAAGGTTGTTGGTATTTTTTACTGGGATAGGGTTGAAACTATAAATTACTTTGGGTCACATTGCCATCTTGACAATCTTAGGTCTTCCAATCTATGAAACATCTAACATCTTTCCACCTATTCATATCTTTTACCAGGGTTGTTGTTATACAAGTCCTTCCTATCGCTGGTTATATTTATTCCTAGGTATTTTATCAAACTCTTAGATGCTATCACAAGTAGACTTGTCTCTGATTTCCCTTGAAGAATTCTCATTGCTAATGTATAGAAACCCAACTGAGTTTTGTTTGTTGGCGTAGTCTGCACCTTAGCTAAATGTACATGCTAATTCTAGAAGCTGTCTTGTGGGTGCTATGGGGTTTTCTGTACATGGGAACTTATCATCTGTGTACAGAGATAAGTTTTGTTTATTTTTCCATATGCTGAGAGTGGACCCCTTTGTCTTGTACGGATTCCAAGGGGAAAGCTCTCGTTCTTTGTCAAGTATAATGTTGGCTGTTGACTTTTCATATATGTTCTGAATCTTATTGAGGAATTTCCCTTCTACTCTCATCATCTTTTAGGGCTTTCACCGTGAAAGGGTGTTGAGTTTTATCAAATGCTTTTTCTATATTAGTAGACCTGATCATGTGGCTCTTTTCCTTTGTTATACTGATTTATTTTCTAAGTTGAACCATCCCTGCATTCCTGGAATAAACCCCCTTGGTCATGGTATGTGACTCTTTATACTTGCTTTTGGACTCTTCTCCTCAGTTTGATCAGAAAGACAAGGCCACCCTCCTGGGCAACAAGAAAGACTACTGGGATTACTTCTGTGACTGTCTGGCCAACGTGAAAGGAGCCAATGACGGGATCCGATTTGTCAAGTCCATCTCTGAGGTAAGCTGAGCAGCATCTTTGCCGAGACATTTGCGACATACAGGTAGCAAAGCGAATACATGGGGGTTACAGGTGGGAGAGAAGTAAAGAAATCCGGCCCAGAATTCTCATTGCCCACCCTTGCTCTGGATCAAGCTCAAGGAGAAGCCACATTTAGGGAGCATTTGCCAAGCAGAGGGATGATCCTCCCTGAATCTGGGCACGACCCCGGGGCCATTCACACTGCAATCTCTGTTCGTGATGTGTAGCACAGGACACCTCCACTTTACTGTAAACATCTTTTGTAGATCAGACTTTGTAAGGGGTTGCCGGGCTGTTTTCCCTGCTCTTTGTCCAGGAAGCCTGAATTTGAAATGGAGAGTGGCATGGAGCTTTGAGAGCCGCATGGTAAAGTGTTGGTCTGCACAGCAGATCCCACATTCAGTTCTGAGCCCCTCACGAGCCTACTGCCGTGGCTCTGCAGTCCTACCGAAGTCCAGAGTAACAAATGGGAGGAGGGGCTTTTCTCCCACTTGTGCACACACGGACACGCCCACACA